AGATGCACGATTCAGTATACTAGAAATGCTAGAAGGAAAATTAGGAAAATCAATTAAGTGTTGGTGACATATGCGACTCAAGAGACAGAGGAGGATGGTTTTAATAGTGTAGGAACAGCCGCTCATGGATTCACATGGAATGTTTTTTTTTTTTTTTTTAAGATATTTCATTCGGTTCATCATTTCGCGACTAATCCGTATATTTTTATGTATGTGTAGGAAAGAATTTTATCTCCTATAATACGAGAGATATAAAATTTTATTTTAAACTACATTCAAATTTTAGAGAAATATAATATAGTATAAATTTGTTCCCTTCAAACTCGGCCTTTCATTTTTCATTCTTATTATTATTGTTTATGTATGAAGAAAATTTGAAGAGTTTTTTAAATGTTATTATGTATTGGTCCTCGGTCCCCTTTCACAAAATTTGCTGAATCCGAGATTATTCCCCATGCTGCCATTGTCACATTTTTCCTGCCATAGACCATACCCTTTGCCAAATGCATATTTCTGAGCATATATATATATATACATACCTCTATTATAAAATGTAATGCATGGCAAAGGGATAGTACGGACAACAAAGTACTGAGTCACCAATGTCTTCAAGCTAGGGAGCTTTGAAACGAAAGAAACGAATCTCTGGAGCATTTGTTCACTTCACTTCTACAAAGACATTGCTATTGCGTTTCTGACAGCATTTGTGGATGAAATTTTCTGTCTTATTAGAATGAGCTGTTATCTCTTTAGATTTGAATTTTCTGTCTTATTTTTATTTTCAGCCTATAAAACTGATAACTAAGTCACTTCAGTTTAATATCAATAAATCAGTAAAATAATTAATAGCTAGTTCTCTTATTCAATTAAAAAATAAAAAATTAAATGAGTTAGCGAGGGTCGAACTTAATGTTATTAGTAACCAGTGGCGATCTAGGATTTTTTTATGACGGGAATGAAAATAAAATATTAAAATTATAATTGTTATTAAAGTTATAGGGTGAGTTAATTATTACACGTGTTTTTGAAAAAAGAACTAATTATTAATATAAATGATGTATTATTATTATAGAATTAAAATTTAGAGAGGAGTGACTATCGAGTCTCCCCTCCCTTAGGTCTGCCCCATAGTAACCCCTCTAAACGAACAAAAATAGGTACGAGTCATTAGAGAAGGTGTGTGTTATCCACCTCTATAAAGAATTTATATTACAAGTTAATCTAGATTCTTATTAGGTTTTACATTCTTTCATTTCTTTTTTTCTTTTTTTTTGTAAATAAAGAGGGGTTAAGCCCCAGAAACATTCTTTCATTTCTTTAGACAAGACAGTGTGATATTACATAAAAGACATAAATTATATTATGATAACATCTATTATTACTTGTGTGTAAAGGATCCACCAATAATTTGTGTGTATGTGTATCTGTATGTATGTGTATCTGTATGTTTTTTTTTCCATCAATAATGTGTATTTTTTTTTTCACTTATGATGAAATATTATTATGTTTCCACTTTTTTGAATCATTAGAGAAGGTGCGATGTTCCTAGATCCAACCAAAAAGAGTGTGAAGGAAAAAGAAAAAGAAATGGAGCAACCTCTACATTTCATTAATGCTCTAACTTATCTACACAGCTCCCACGTGGTTCTGAGTCTATGTATATAATGAGAAAAGTGTGTATCATTTTAAGAGAGAGAAAAAGATAAATAAAAGATGAAAGAGTTGACAAAAAAAATAAAGATGTGGATCTTACTTCTTTGTGAGAGTGAAAAAATATAAATTGTGTCATTTAAAAGGATAAACATTTTTTTCATATATAATAACATGATGTTTTGGATGTGACTCATGGAAAGAGAGAAAGTAAATATGTAAATTAGTTATAGAAAATCTAAGATCCTGAAGAAAGTTGAAATATTTTTAAAATGGGATAAGATTCGCTTACAAACATTTTTTGCAAATTACATTAAATGCAACCAGTTGCACTGCATGATTAAAGTATGACCGGTCGTACTTAGTGTAATTTGTAAAAGTTTGTAAACAAGAAAATTTGTAAATATAACTTGCCCCTTTTAAAATATGGAAAAATGGGTTCTGATACTTCATTTGACCGTATATAATGAAAAATAACTTTTTGCACACTATCTTTGTTTCCTGTCGTTATATTGAGTAGATCTGTTGATATTCTGATTTATTTATTCATATTTTATAATTACGGATAACTTTAATTATTTAAATTAACTTTCATTAATTAATTTCTATTCTTTTAATTCGTTAACTTATCTCTTTCTCAAGTTAATATATTTACTACTAATACTTAATCATTACCCATTTAGGTTTCTTAACGGTTTATTTATTTATTTTAGTAATAATTTTTATGGAGTATATTTTCTTATGCAATAGAAGAATATTGTTTTCATGTCAGGTACACCCAAACACCATGGCCCCACTGTACAGAAAAAAGACAAAAAATAAAATAAAAATGGAGTGGATCCCACACCATCTTGAAACAGCTTAAAAGAGGAGTCTAGTGTTGAAAAAATTGGACCGATCATTCGGGTCGACCCGAAATTCGATAAACCGTTTGTATGATCGTCGGTCTAGTTTTTATGTTGGATCGGTCAAGTAACAGACCCGGTACAACTCGACCTATTTTTGAGAAAATTGGTGACCCAATCAGTTCAACCAGTGACCCGACCCAGTTCACAAAAAAATAAAATCCAAAAAAATAAATGTATCAAATGATTTGTTTTCTTTTGACATATTTGAGTGATTTGTTATTTATTTACTTACATAAATTAAGTACCTACAGCACTAATATTATTTTGGTCACGCACTATGTAACGAATTTAAATTTAATTTATAGCTAGAGATGTCATGTATTGAACATGAAACACCGGTATCTCAAGCATTATATGTTTGTTTGATCCTTTGTTGGATAACATGTAATTTATTTTTTTTATATTAAAATATTTGAAATTGATATTATTGTTTGGGAAAAACATTTCTCTGGCAACTTGAGATAAGTTTATCTCCGGCCACCTCAAAACTACGTCGTTTTGTTTATTTATTTTCTTATATTAATTGATTCACCTTTGAATGATTATGATTCCCTTTTTCTCTCTCTTCCTTTATTCCCATTGATCCATCTTTGTATGGTTATGATTTGGTAGCCGGAGATAAAATTATTTCCGGCAACTTGAGAAATGATAAGCCCTTAGTGTTTTACAGGTATTTAAGTATGTTTATAAAACTTTAATATAAATTATAGATTTGCATATACTTATTAGGTCATGCAGTTGAATCAGTGACCAACTGGTTGAACCAGTGACCCAGTATCTCAACCGGATCAATGATCGGGTCAGGTTTAATAACATTGATGGAGACTTCTCCAATTGCACAAGACTTATATTTCCCTAATTTATATGGTTGAAACACTCGCACGTGGTTATCAGTTTATAATGATGAGATGATTGTTAAAGAGATAGAAAAGGTACAAAATAATTAATTAAGTCTCACCTAATGCTTTAAGGTTTTAGATTGAGGTGGCCTTCGATATCAGAGTTGGAGTGATCCTACCAGGGTCAGGGCACACCCATATGGAGTATGAGTCAAATTCTTAACCAACTGTGCCCACCTTTGTTGGCCATTTTTGTCTTTCTTTTTAATTGTATTTGGGGCAACTGTGTTGACATCATTTATTTATTTATCGGTATTTCTTTTAAGAAATATGTTATTCTACCTACAATTTTTTCTGCCTACCTTTGCCTACCACTCTCCAACATCGTTAGATAGAATTTTAATAGGAGAGAGAAAGATAACCTATCCCATATATAAAACATAATTTTGTAAGAATTTACTATATACTAGGAATAGTACATTCCCATAAATTTGTAAATATAACTCTTTCCTATATATATATATATATATATATATATATATATATATATATATATATGCCACAAAATAATGTCAATGGCACTCTTCGAAATTTGCCTTAGAAGAAACATAACAGATATATAGCTCGTGAAACCTAGTTGCCAAATCATTCCTTCATGACATATCGATGGCATGGGTTTGAAGTAAACGTTCCTCAAACAAACTATGCAGGTGAAATCTAGCATTTGGTAAGGAAGTTTTATTTTTGTTGCCCTCGAAAAGTTCACATGAGATTCAAAGAAGATCATATTTGGTAAGAGTTTTCAAAAAAATTGCGTAGAGTTCTAATTTGCATGGAAATGTAACCCTGTATGTCAAATTTTATCCAGAGTATCACTTGAAAATACCACTCAGAAAGTGATATTTTGATTTAACTGACAAATAAAAAAAATTGGAGAGCAAAAATTTAAACACAAATATCCCTAAAATAACATGCCAAAATTTGATAGGCAATGGTTATTTTGATAATTGTAACCCATTTTCTTAATAATATTTTACCTTCAACCAAATATAAACTCAGAAAACTTAAACCAATTTTTTCAATAATATTTTGACTTACCAAACAATTTTTTTTTTTAACTTTCCCACCATATTCCCAATAATTGTGATTCACTGATAATTTTTTTTTCTACTAAACGCACCACAAGCTACTGAAAGGAGTTTTCCTACCAAAAAGTAATTATTTAATGCAAAAGAGCATAACATCTTTGCGCAAGAAAAAAGCATCACGAGTCAATACTTAAGCCATTTATTAGAAAATCAGCACACAGTAAAGCACCAACTAACATCAATTAAAGTCCCATTAAAACTTCCTATTGATGTACCCAAAATCATTTTAACCAAAATAACTTAATATTGACAGTTGTACCCAACAAAAAATAAAAATGAAAATATTATTGACTGTTTTCAGGGCACACTCGCATTCTTCTCACGAGATAATATCACAATCAATTTGATGATTGAAAAAACCACTCATTCACCACAGAGTTGGAGTTAAGATTATATTGAAGAATGAAAGCAAATAATTTTTTCATATTGCAAAACAAGAGCCGACAGCCGAATCTGTCGTTTTAGTTCTCATCTCCATTCAGGCAACACAAAGTAAGGAGTTCAAAAAATACACAAATAAACAGAAAGCCAAAAGAATATGCAAGCTCTAAGTTTTGAAGGCAAACGAGTTTATTGTTGCCATTTATTAGAAAATGCTTGAGGCAGTTTATACCATTAAAAAATACGGTTCCTTGTCCATTTTTTCTTCTCCAAGGAAAACATTCTACCACAACTTTAATACAATTTCAACCTCCCACTGCAATCAAAATAGATTTATGCAATACTTAAGGCAATCAAGGAATGGCTCGTTGATAGAGGGGCAAACCTCCCAATGCTTCACGCTCCGCGTTTTCCCTCTTCACCTGCAAATTGTGGGTAGCAAAGCATTCAGTGACAATTTTAGAAGTTATTGGGTTGTTGATTTTTCAAATCTAAGAATAAACACATTTTGCTACATGTACATAAAATTCTCAGAGGTCTGAACTAAGTGAGGAATTCTTATGTGCTATGAATATAATACACTAATCCAATCAAAACATGAGTTATTAATTATCTTATTTAAAGTGGGTTCTAACTTAAGGACTAATGTTGCTTATTCAAAGTTACTCGTTCACTGAATATGTGGTTTAAAGCCCAAATAAAGTTAAGGCTCAACCTACTTAAGAATATGACTAAGTTAAAGGATTTAAGCCCAAAGCAATGCAAGCCCATTTTATAAGAAATGGCCCAATTAGTATCTAAACAAAGATCCAAGCCCACACCACTTAGCCTTGACCCAATTACTAATGGTCCAACACTTATTAACTTAATGGGCCAAGACACTAACCAAGCCCAACCCAATTCAAGAATAAACCCTAGATGAGGTGGCAACACATGATTGGACAATTTGAATGAAGATTTCACCCTCCTCACATGTCCACCTCGGTCTAGCAAAGAGAAAAAGGGGATGAGATTGCTTTTCCCACCTTAGGCGCTACACAAGACGAGGAAAGGTGATGCAAGAACTTGAGTAAGACACACTCCAACTCTAACCAATGCATGTGAACTCCTTTAGCCACTCCTTTTCTCCTTACACACCTTGGAGGGCGCACTCATGACAAGGAAAAAGAAGCTTTCTTTTTACACACTCAAGCTATGCATGACACATCACGAGAACCAAGTCTTTCCATCTCCCAAGGTAACACATCAAGGGAACATAAACCAAGATTTCCTTCATAAAAGTAGGCTCACTTTCCCTCTTCCCTAGGCGCACAAGTCTTCCCAATGCATGATTAAAAAGGTGAAGCCACCTTTTCTCCATCTTCCTAGGCGCCATAATGAGCATGAAAAAGGAAGACTTGATCTATACATTTCATGATGAGTGTGATACACTCAAGGTGACCCCAACCCCATGCATTGGGAAGCCACAAAGACACATTCTTCTAGGACTTCAACAATGAAAAGTTAAAAGGCAAAAGCTTTACACATTAACCAACCTTTCCCAAGTAATGATTAAAGTGTCTAAGTACACGCAAAGGACCCCCTCCCCATGCGCCCCAAATAATGAAGAATATCTCTAACCAAGACCAAGTCAAATGCCAAGTGGATTACATGCAATGGTCACATAAGAGGTTGTAAGAACCATCACCTTTTCCCTTGCATGCTCGGCCCTTCCTCCCAACTAAGACCAAGGAAGACTTGTCACACTCCACACTCAAGCATCATACGCCCTCCAATGCATGTGAGTAGCTTTCTTCACACTCACAAGTAATACTCAAGTGCACCTCTAAGCAAATGATGACAAGGCCTAGATAAAAGAAAAGGCAAAGAGCTTCCTCCTCCCCCTAAGGCCGTGAAACACCAAGCAACAAGATAAAGGACTCCTCCTTCTCCTTCTTCCCTTGGCTCCGGCCATTTCTCTCCTCATCAAGCCAAGCAAGTAAGAGAGAAACCAAGAGGTTGTTGGAAGCAACTCTCAACCCTAGAAGACTCCTTGAAGATCAAGTGTGAAGCATTAGTTAGAGTTATATTTTAGACATCATCTTTGAGGTAAGATCTCTTTCATCCCTTCAAGTGAGTAGAATGAACTTTAACTAATTTATATGACTAGATCTTGGACTAATAAAGCCATGCATGCATCTTTCATCTTTAAAATCACCTCCTAAGTGTATCACCTCAAAATGGCCGAACCTAGGTGTGTCACTAAATGTTTAATATTTTCTTTAAAGTATCATGGAGAGGGTTGAAGTGATGGTGTTAGCATGATAAGTAAGCATCCTTTAAAAATCATCTCCTAAAGGCATGAACCCTAAATGGCCGAACCTATATACCTTCCTAAATGTGTGATATTTTTCTTTTTAAGTACCATGGAAAGTATTAGCGTGATGTGTATGAACGTAGCATTTGAAAAATCTCCTTTTTATGACCTTAAACCTAAATGACCGAATTTAATGTATAGAAAAGTATTGTCCAAGGTTTGATTTAAGGCCCATGAACATGACATTAAAATTTTCCTTTAAGTGCATGACCCTAAAAGGCCGAACCCTAATGGACCTAGGAGAGAAATTTGTGAATGTTTTCTTGGTATTATGATGTATGGCCGAAATGTATAATAAAAATAGGACCTATACATGAAAGCCATTAATGAAAAATCATCTCCTAGGTATTTTGTTTAAAAGGGCAGAATCTATATCAAGAAGAAAACCAAGTTAGATCTTATGAATATGTACTAAGGATGATTATGTTACTAGGCCAAACCAAAGGAACAAGCAAGGACCCCTTTGAACTCTTGGGAAGTGATAAGACAAGACTATTGTGTAAGTGATTTACGGTTGTTGTAGCGGCTACCCTATGGTTGCCACCCCTTTATGTTAAAGTGAGGTTTGACTGCAATATGTTATATGATGCATTACATGATATGTTCGGTTGTTTGGAACTAATGTTTATTCATGCAAGTTTTGTAAGATGGCCTGTGCACTGATACCACAAAGGCAACCTGACGAGGACCCTGGGTATTCGTCCATAAGACCATGGAGAGTAATTGCCATGGCAGGATTGGTATGATGATATGAAAGCATGATTATTTTCTAAACTATGCTTCAAATGTTTTGCCATTCTATTATTGTACATGTTATTATGTGACTATTGCAGGAGTAAGCATCATGGTTTGGAGGTTGCTCCAACTGTGAGTCCTTACTGAGATCCCCAATCTCACCCCCCTTTGGGAAATCCCCTTTCAGGTAAAAATGACCAAATGGGTAAGGCAGGGAAAGAGGTTGGTGCGAATTGAAGAGGAACCTGCGCAGCCATGTGCAGATAAAGTTGATAATACACCATCCCTTTTAGATAGAGTTTTTGATCTAATATTTGAGGGAAAGTGGGAGCTGGCAAACTATATTATGGATCAGGAAATGGAATCCCTATGGATTGAGGGTGCACCTTACTAAAGATGCACCAAAGATTTTAATTTGGATGACTGTAATAGACTATGTCACTTAGACTATTTGAACATTTTATATACGTTTGAAGTACAATATTTTGGATGTTTATGTTTTATGGACTATGAAATTAGTAGGAAAGATTAAGTAACATAAGTCACTATCCGCATAAGACACTTAAGAGACTACCTACTCAGTATTAGTCAAAACTAAAATTATGATCATGTAAGTGAGCCCCTAAATAGCGCATAAGTATGAGCAGGGTAACCAAGAAGAGATTAACTTGTAAGTAGACCGTAGACAAAGCAAAAGAGAAACTCATGACTAGAGGAATAGATAAGTTAGGGAAAAGAACGAAATTAATTCCCATTAGTAAATTTTAAGTTAACCACGCTTAAGTACATGGATTCCGCGCATTGAATGTCAAGCAATGTAACACCATTAAGTGTCTTATGCGGATAGTGACTTATGTTACTTAATCTTTCCTACTAATTTCATAGTCCATAAAACATAAACATCCAAAATATTGTACTTCAAACGCATATAAAATGTTCAAAATAGTCTAAGTAGCATAGTCTATTACAGTCATCCAAATTAAAATCTTTTGTGCATCTTTAGTAAGGTGCACCCTCAATCCATAGGGATTCCATTTCCTGATCCATAATATAGTTTGCCAGCTCCCACTTTCCCTCAAATATTAGATCAAAAACTCTATCTAAAAGGGATGGTGTATTATCAACTTTATCTGCACATGGCTGCGCAGGTTCCTCTTCAATTCGCACCAACCTCTTTCCCAAAGGGGGTGAGATTGGGGATCTCAGTAAGGACTCGCAGTTGGAGCAACCTCCAAACCATGATGCTTACTCCTGTAATAGTCACATAATAACATGTACAATAATAGAATGGCAAAACATTTGAAGCATAGTTTGGAAAATAATCATGCTTTCATATCATCATACCAATCCTGCCATGGCAATTACTCTCCATGGTCTTATGGACGAATACCCAGGGTCCTCGTCAGGTTGCCTCTGTGGTATTAGTGCACAGGCCATCTTACAAAACTTGCATGAATAAACATTAGTTCCAAACAACCAAACATATCATGTAATGCATCATATAACATATTGCAGTCAAACCTCACTTTAACATAAAGGGGTGGCAACCATAGGGTAGCCGCTACAACAACCGTAAATCACTTACACAATAGTCTTGTCTTATCAGTTCCCAAGAGTTCAAGGTGGTTCTGGTCCTTTCTTGTTCCTTTGGTTCAGCCTAATAACATAACCATCCTTAGTACATAGTTCTAAAATTAAAGATCTAAACTTAATATTCCTCTTGACATAGGTTCGGCCTTTTTAGATGAATGCCTTAGGAGATGATTTTCACTAATTGTTCTCATGCATAGGTCCTATAAATTTCGGCCATACATCATGATACTTAAGAAAACATTCACAAATTTCTTTTCTAAGCTTGTTAGGGTTCGGCCATTTTAGGGGTGTATACCTAGAGGACATTTTTGATAACATGGCTTAAATGCTCATATAAAATGGTTGATCCTTAAATCAAACTTTAGACTATACTTCCCTATACATCACATTCGGCCATTTTAGGTTTAGGTTGTTTAGCCAATGTTTTGAAGATTTGGAGAGTGCATGCATATCATTTAAGTTCGGCCATGTAGAGGTGGTATACATAGGCGATGATTTCTAGGATGATAGATGCATGCATGGCTTTATTAGTCCAAGATCTAGTCATGTAGAGTGGTTAGGGTTCATTCTACTAGCTTGAAGGGATGAAGAGCTCATGAGATCTTACCTCAAAGATGATGTCTAAAATATAACTCTAACTAATGCTTCACACTTGATCTTCAAGGAGTCTTCTAGGGTTGAGAGTTGCTTCCAACAACCTCTTGGTTTCTCTCTTACTTGCTTGGCTTGATGAGGAGAGAAATGGCCGGAGCCAAGGGAAGAAGGAGAAGGAAGAGTCCTTTATCTTGTTGCTTGGTGTTTCACGGCCTTAGGGGGAGGAGGAAGCTCTTTGCCTTTTCTTTTATCTAGGCCTTGTCATCATTTGCTTAGAGGTGCACTTGAGTATTACTTGTGAGTGTGAAGAAAGCTACTCACATGCATTGGAGGGCGTATGATGCTTGAGTGTGGAGTGTGACAAGTCTTCCTTGGTCTTAGTTGGGAGGAAGGGCCGAACATGCAAGGGAAAAGGTGATGGTTCTTACAACCTCTTATGTGACCATTGCATGTAATCCACTTGGCATTTGACTTGGTCTTGGTTAGAGATATTCTTCATTATTTGGGGCGCATGGGGAGGGGGGGTCCTTTGCGTGTACCAAGGTTAGACACTTTAATCATTACTTGGGAAAGGTTGGTTAATGTGTAAAGCTTTTGCCTTTTAACTTTTCATTATTGAAGTCCTAGAAGAATGTGTCTTTGTGGCTTCCCAATGCATGGGGTTGGGGTCACCTTGAGTGTATCACACTCATCATGAAATGTATAGATCAAGTCTTCCTTTTTCATGCTCATTATGGCGCCTAGGAAGATGGAGAAAAGGTGGCTTCACCTTTTTAATCATGCATTGGGAAGACTTGTGCGCCTAGGGAAGAGGGAAAGTGAGCCTACTTTTATGAAGGAAATCTTGGTTTATGTTCCCTTGATGTGTTACCTTGGGAGATGGAAAGACTTGGTTCTCGTGATGTGTCATGCATAGCTTGAGTGTGTAAAAAGAAAGCTTCCTTTTCCTTGTCATGAGTGCGCCCTCCAAGGTGTGTAAGGAGAAAATGAGAGTTGCTTTTTGGCTAAAGGAGTTCACATGCATTGGTTAGAGTTGGAGTGTGTCTTACTCAAGTTCTTGCATCACCTTTCCTTGTCTTGTGTAGCGCCTAAGGTGGGAAAAGCAATCTCATCCCCTTTTTCTCTTTGCTAGACCGAGGTGGACATGTGAGGAGGGTGAAATCTTCATTCAAATTGTCCAATCATGTGTTGTCACCTCATCTAGGGTTTATTCTTGAATTGGGTTGGGCTTGGTTAGTGTCTTGGCCCATTAAGTTAATAAGTGTTGGACCATTAGTAATTGGGTCAAGGCTAAGTGGTGTGGGCTTGGATCTTTGTTTATATACTAATTGGGTCATTTCTTATAAAATGGGCTTGCATTGCTTTGGGCTTAAATCCTTTAACTTAGTCATATTCTTAAGTAGGTTGGGCCTTAACTTTATTTGGGCTTTCGATCAGTGATAGACTGATTTTATAATACTTTATAATAAAACCTAGATTGTTTGCTGCATTACTCTTAGATCATACTAAGTAGCTCATAAATCATATCTCAGCCGTCACAAAAAAGGGTAGCCAACTAAACATTACAAACGATATGAGCCATATGATATTCTTCAAGTTAAATATAAAAACAAAATAACCATGATCCATCTATTCCAGCAAATATGCACACACAACAAGGGCAACAAAAATGAAGTCAATGACAAGAGGTCTTATTTTTTCTTCTAAAAAAATAGAAAACAAATAAATCATCAATTAAGCTACTATATTTCTTGAAATGAATAAGTTCTGTCAATACACTTACATCAAGTATATTGGAGAAGCAGACATCAACCAACAGTTGTGCAAAGAAACTAACACATTGGTTCACATTTTAAATTTTTGACCTCAGAAAGAGTTTCATAGAAAAGCACGGAGAATCAAGAAGTATAGAATCCGCCTCAATGAAATATTGTACTGAAACATCCACGCACAAAACATTTAGTTATTTATATGATGATAGCACTTACAAGGGCCAGCATTTCCTGAAGGTAGCCCCTGAATGGTGTTTGCATTGCCTGTCAAAAAAAGAGGAAAAAATATCAGAGCTCAAAAATTAACATTTGACAGTCAAAATACTCAAATACATGTACATACCAAACATGACCATTAAATCTTCTTTGACATGTTCTCAGAAACAATATATAACAATCAATTTGAAGTGTACTCACAGACACGACACTGGCCATTTTGCGAAATTTGAAGTGTCCCATCAGGATTTGAAGCGTCATGTTATGCAGTGTGTGCTTCATGCATCATGTACTATAAAGCTCACAAAAGGTTCCAGTGACCATAATTTCTCAAACTATAAATTAAAAGTACTTCTAGCTTCAAAGTAACATTAACTTGAAAGAATGATTCTCTCAATTCTAACACGAAGACCATTCTAAGCAATCGGTTCATACTTATAACTGAACATAAATCAAAACTTAAGACGAAAGATTTTCATCCATCTTGCTTGTAACTGAAACTCAACAACAGCAAACAAAAGAAAGAAAGAAAGAAAAAAAAAAAAAAACCTGAAGATTCTCAGGGAGGTACTCATGCTTCATGGAAAGGTCAATGGCACGCTTAAGACGCGCGTGGCGAGCGTCCACTATCTCCTTTGGAAGCCGATTCAGGGCCTCCTTTATATCCAGATCGTAGTACGGATCGTACAGATCATCGTAGCGTAGCCCTAATTCCCAAAATTTATTAAAATATTCAGAAATCAGTGATTAAAAGATTGAATTAGGGTTTGAGAATTCGTAGAGACAAAAAAACAAAATTTAAAAGGAGAAAATGATTAACCGTATTTGCGAAGGCGTTTGGAAAGGGATTTCATGTGCTGACGAGCGAACCAGTTCTTCTTTGGATCCACCAGTGATTGCAACAACGACGCCATTGCTCTTCTCTCTTCTGTTCTCTCGCTCTTTCGTTAAGAGTTTCTCGAATAATCGCGGAGGAAGAGGAACAAGTGCGTTTTATTTTCACTCACGATTTTCTCAGTCTACGACGATAACTTTTCCTCGTGCTGTCGCCACCTGCAAGCGAGCGACACGTCGTTTCTTTCCTCTACTTTTTCCCCTACTTCCTGAATATTCGCCCGAATTTAAGAAGAAAAAAATTTAAAAGAAAACAAATAAAAGGCTTATTGTTTTGTTACAAGCTATAATGCACGGAAACGGGACACGACACGACACGTCGACACGTTAATTTTAAAAAATGTCATATTTTGACATGTTGGGACATGTTTTCATATTAAATAAAATTTTTAATATATATAATATAATTTATATTTAATACATATAAGAGTTTATAATAAGTCATATAATCAATCAAATATTTAAATTTCATAACATAAATATAAATATAAGTAATTTTTCGTATTTTGTTAATTTTTAATGTCAAATTTCATAGCAAAAAAAAATTAATTTATAAATGATTTCTTTTATATTTAGTTAACAAAATAAAATTAAGATTTAAAAAAAAACGTGTCCGAGCGTGTCCCCAAATGTTGACTGCGTGTCCCTAAATATTAATCGCGTGTCGGATAGTTGATCGCGTGTCGGACGCTTGTCCGAGCGTGTCGGAGCGTGTCTGTGTCGGACACGTGTTCGACACGCAAATTTAAAAAAATTTGCGTGTCCGTGAATATGAGGTTACAAGGATGTCCAAAAGTAGATGATAGTAAATAGCTAACTCCCTTAAATATGTTGCTAGGGTTTGATTTTTGGTTATGCGCATGAAATATATTTTATTGGTAGAGGCAAAATTCATTTTTGTAATATCTATACCTCGAGAGAATTAGTCTTCGGTTTTCGACAGGATATATCCCAAGTTATACTAAAAAAAAATTAATTTAGTGTGTTAGAAATATTAAGAGTCAATTATAATATTAAAAAGATTTTATTATAATATAATATTAAGACTTGATATTATCCATTAAACGTTATATGACCCAATTAATTACTGATAAATTTAATCTCAATCATTAATTTGGTATATGATGGACATACCAGATTATAAATTATGGAATATATATATTAGGGATGGTCCTCTCTCTCCTTCAACCCTAATGTCATTCTCTCCATCAAAATATATATCAAAGTAAAGAAGGCTTAGAGAGAGAAACTACCCCAATACAATTGTTCACAAGATGACGACTGCCGTTAATCCTTCATCATCGATCATTTTCGGGTATGTCTTTATCTCTTATGTGTATGTGAAAATCATGTATTCCCAAGATCCTTTATCATGTTCTTTTTTTTTTGGTATCCTGGTTGGGAGAAAGACCCCAACCAGGCTAAAAACAAGAAATACAACGAGTACTACCAGTACCTCCTAAATCTGCTAAATACAATAAATAAATACCAGGAGGAGGAAACGAAAAAGAACAAAAGTCCTCAAGTGCCGGATTAGCCAAAGGTAAATTTGATAGCCAATCTGCACAACAATTACACTCTCTATACGTATGCTTTATCTTTACTGTCCATTCCTTGCTCATCCAAGCCCATATACGAGACACCAAATGGTACTCACAGGCTGGCTCACCCGATTTAGTGAGCCAAGCGACTGTCGTTGCCGAGTCACTTTCAATAATCACTTTTTTCCAACCTCCTTCCCAAGCTAATTGAATTCCTTTCAAAATACCCCATAATTTCGCTTGGATAGCACTACAATAACCCACTCTATATGAAAACTCATTTAGCCACTTACCTGTACCATCTTTTATCACTCCCCCACAAGCTGCCAATCCGGGATTTCCTTTAGCAGCTCCATCTGTATTAACTTTAATTCAATCTGTTTCCAGAAATTTTCAGGTTACTGCAATTTCCCTCTTTCTTGAGTTATGCAATCCCTGATTCTTCTTATTTGCAACAACCCATAACTCTTTTGCTTGACTTACTGTGAAGTTATGGTTATATGCATATTGAAGATTTTGACGACCATATGACTTGTCATTCCTCCACTTCCAACATAGCCAAGCTATGACAGCAATCATTGTATTCCAAGGCACCTCACAATTATGAACTGTATCTATCTGAAGATTGGATATAATCCAATTGTTACCATCCATGACAAAAAATTCTGGGCAAAAATTTTGAGCTCCTAAATTAGTCCATAGAGTTTGAACTCATAAACAATCACGTAAAGCATGAATCCAGGATTCTTCTGCATTATTGCATAAAGCGCACAGAGAATCCCCCAACTGCATATCAACCATCCTTTTCTTTGTGAGAAGTCTACCATGAGCTACTTTCCACCAAAATAATTGAATCCTATGTGGACCCTTCCAACTCCAAATTAAACTCCAAATATCAGAGCTCATTAAATCCATCTCTGTTTGCTTTGAGATCAACCCATATATACCTTTCACCGTTATGCCATTAACAACTGCAATATTCCATCTTAAATGATCAACACCATCAAGCGAGTGAGGAGGGAGATGACTTCTTATAATTTCAATTTCCTCAACAGGAAGCCACCTAGACAGCCTTTCTTTGTCCCATTCTCCACCCTCAGTGACATGATCAGCAACTATTTTTCCAGCCTCCTCCCACGGAATGGGGTGACTTGTTTTATCAATAAGTCTTTCCTTTCTATTTGGCCATTTTTGGAGCCAAAACTTCACTGATCTTCCATCAGCTATCTCCCAATAAGAGTGGTCATCCATTTTCCTCCAAGCTAAACATGTGGTATCAGAGCAAGGTTTAGGAATTCATGTTTTTCCATGTATGATTATGATTGGATTCTTGATTTTTGAAAAGTTAGGGTTTTTTAAAATCTATGTTTTTCCCTAACGATTTTTTATATGATTCTATGAATTCATGTTTCTGACGTCGATTTTTGCTAATTATCGTTTCTGGATCCAAATCTTGAATTGATTTTGCAATTAACAAAAAGACAAAATTGTGCCTATTACTTTACAATTCACAATTTTATATATTGGATTCAATGGCCACTGTATGTATATTCAAGAAAGCATATTTGAATGATTATAATATATATTATAATAGAACAAATTACATGTATAGAATGGATACATTACTTTTGTGCAAGGCTGACGCATGATCTTTTATATATATGTTTGGATTTTTGCTTTTATATATAAATTGAATATATAAAGCTAATGTTTACAAAGGCAAGACAAATGCTTATGGCTTAATGTTTATATATATTATTATTATTATATATAAGGTACTGATTTTGAAATGTGTTTTTGATTGGATTAAAGTTGAATGTTAAATTTTAATACTATAATTGTTTAATATATATATATATATATATATATATATATATATATATGCATTATTTATATTATGAATAATGCAGTATATATAATGACATGATTTCTGCTGTAATTGAATGAATTTTTATGTAAGAATTAGTATGAAAATTTACATCGTTCATGTTTATAAAAAAATAAAAATAAAATAAAAAATAAAAAATTGCAATATGTATATCTGAAGTATGAATTGTATCGTCTTATATATTCTTATTGTTAATTTTATTGATGCATTATATTGTAATTATGATATGAGATTGATCTGTTAAGTTATTTTCTCACATTATGTCATGGTTTGTTAGTCACCAAAGTGGCCAAACTAAAAATGTGTAGATAACATAAAAGTCATTTATTTGTGTGCGTTTTGGTTATAGTTTGTTAGTCACCAAAGTGGCCAAACTAGAAAGTTATCGCATGCATAAAATTGTCATTTATCCATGTACTTATGAAATACCAATTACTGAAATAAATTGGATAAATTGACATTGCTGATTATTAGAAATGAGGGATTCACCCAAAGGTGAATCATATTCTATAATTAGTGATATTATGTGGCAAATTAGTATTTTGATTAAATATGTTTTAATTATCCAAAGATAATGGATATATTTAATTGAAAAACATTTTTGTCTATTAATGTTTTGGTATTTGCTTATGATGAGTATATTGTAGTATCTACCCAAAGGAGTGCTACTTTGAGCTTGTATGTTTTTATTTGAATCACATTTATGATTATTCATGAGCTTTTGTGTATGTTATTTTAATTGCAGTTTTTTCCATGAATTCACAAGCTTCATCTGTTACTATGTTTGCTGGTGAGAATTTCTCAGAATGGCGTGAACAAGTCAACTTTCACTTAGGTGTTATGGATCTTGACTTGGCACTCCTTGAGAATGAACCCACTGCTATTACTGAAACCAGTAGTGAGGAAGAGAAATCTCACTATAAGGCATGGAATCGAAGTAACAGGTTAAGCCTTATGTTTATTAAGATGACTGTTGCCAACAACATTAAGTCAACCATTCCACAAACAGAAAGTGCAAAAGAATATACGAAGTTTGTGGAAGAACGCTTCTGTTCAGCGGACAAGTCACTTGTTGATACTCTTATGGCACAACTCACGACCATGAAGTTTGATGGGTCGCGAACTATGCAAGAGCATATTATTGAGATGACTCATTTTGCAGCAAAACTTAATACCTTGGGACTTACTGTTGCGGACTCATTCTTGGTTCAATTTATTTTGAACTCGCTGCCTTCTGAATATGGGCCATTTCAAATTAACTATAACACTATTAAGGACAAGTGGAATGTTAATGAATTGGCCAGTATGCTCGTTCAGGAAGAAGGGCGTTTAAAGAACCATGCAAGTCACTTTGTTAATCTCATGGGTCGGAAAGCTGGGAAATGATTGAAAGCAAGATCAAGACACTTTAAGAAAAAGAAAGCATCTGTGCAAGATGGGCAGGAGAAAGAAAAGAAGGGACTAAAGGACATTAGCTGCCACTTCTGTAAGAAGTCTGGGCACTATTAAGTTGAATGTCCCAAACGTATAGCTTGGTTCGAAAAGAAGGGGATTCGTTACGATCCGAACTATAAATCCAAATGAAGATCGTTTTCTTTTTATGGGAAACAGAAAGAAAAAAATTCCTCAAAGAGCATGGCATATGTGCACAGTATACTATGTCAGGCACATCACAACAAAATGGTGTGGCAAAAAGGCGTAACCGGAACTTAATGGATATGGTTAGGAGCATGATGAGTAACTCCTCATTACCTAAAAATTTGTGGCTTTATGCGCTTAAAAGTGCGACCCACTTGCTGAATAGGATTCCTAGTAAGGCAGTTCAAAAGACTCATTTTGAATTGTGGACAGGAAGGAAACCTAGCTTAAGTCACCTGTATATTTGGGGTTGCCCACCAGAAGCAAGGATTTATAATCCACATGAACGAAAGTTAGACTCTCGAACGATTAGTGGATACTTTATTGGTTATCCTGAGAAGTCCAAAGGGTATGTATTTTATTGTCTGAACCATAGTCTGAGAATTATGGAAACTGGTAATGCAAGATTCATTGAGAATGGCGAAGTTAGTGAGAGTTCTAAAAGGGAAATTATGGAAATAAAGGAGAGTGGGGTAAATATTTCATTGTCTATAATTGTTACTCCATCTACTAAATTTCCTAATGTTGTTCTAGTTGTTGTAGAACAAGATGACAACACTGAACAACATTTGAATGAAGAAGTACTCCCATCAGATGCTAACTTGCAGAATGCTAATGTACAAGAACCATATGAGATAGAATTAAGAAAATCCCAAAGGGAACATAGGCCATCTATTTCAAATGATTATGTTGTTTACCTGTATGAGTCAGATTATGACATTAGAATCAATAAAGATCCAGTTTCATTTTCACAAGCCATGGAAAGTATAGAATCCGATAAATGGATTTAAGCTATGAAAGAAGAGCTAAAATCCATGGATCAGAATGATGTTTGGGATCTCGTCGAATTACCTGAAGGTTCCAAAAGAGTTGGTTGTAAGTGGATCTTTAAGACGAAACGTGACTCTAATGGTAATATTGAATTATACAAAGCTAGACTTGTTGCCAAGGGTTATACTCAGAAAGATAGCATTGATTATAAAGAGACATTTTTACCTGTCTTGAAAAAGGATTCATTAAGGATAATTATGGCATTGATGGCTCATTATGATTTAGAGCTACAACAAATGGATGTGAAAACAACTTTTCTTAATGGTGACCTTGAGGAGAAAGTTTATATGGATCAACCTGAAGGTTTTTCCATGGAAAGTGAAAGAAAATTAGTGTGTAAACTCAAGAGGTCAATTTATGGACTTAAGCAAGCATCCCGACAATGGTATATCAAGTTCAATACCATTATTATATCTTTTGGATTTGAGGAAAACACTGTTGATCAGTGTATTTACCAGAAGATCAGTGAGAGTAAGTTTGTTTTCTTAGTTTTTTATGTTGACGACATCTTACTTGTTGCAAATGATTTAAGTATATTGCGTGAGACTAAAGATTTTCTCTCAAATAATTTTGAAATGAAAGATACGGAAAATGTGTCCTATGTGATTGGAATAAAAATATTCCGTGATCGATCACAAGGATTGTTGGGACTATCTTAGAAAGGATATATTGAGAAAATTCGAGAGAGATTTAATATGAGTAAGTGCTCACTTGGAGTTGTTCCTATACAGAAAGGTGATAAATTTAGTCTCATGCAATGTCCAAAGAATGATGTTGAACGGAAATAGATGGAATCAATTCCATATGCCTCTGTTGTGGGCAACTTAATGTATGCTCAAACCTGTACTCAGCCGGATATCAGTTTTGCGGTCAGGATGTTGGGCAGATATCAAAGTAATCCAGGAATGGAACATTGGAAAGCTGCAAAGAAAGTTTTAAGATACCTTCAAGGCACGAAGGATCACATGCTCATGTACAAAAGGTCCAATGAATTAGAAGTAATTGGATATACTGATTCAGATTTTGGTGGATGTCTTGATAGTAGAAAGTCAACCTTTGGCTACTTGTTTATGTTTTCCCAAGGAGCCATATCATGGAAAAGTGCAAAACAGACTATCGTTGCTTCATCCACTATGGAGGCAGAATTTGTGGCATGTTTTGAAGCCACAACTCATGCATTATGGCTGCGGAACTTTATTTCAGAGCTTGCGGTTGTCGACACCATTAGCAGGCCGCTGAAAATTTACTATGATAATTATGCAGCAGTATTCTTCTCTAAGAACGAGAGATACTCTAAAGGTGCCAAACATATAAAGTTAAAGTATTTTAACGTTAAAGAGGAGGTTCAGAAACAAAGAGTGTCAATTATGCACATAAGAACTAAACACATGATGGCAGACCCTTTGACGAAAGGGTTACAACCAAAGCTATTTAAAGAACATGTTTAAAGTATTACCCTTGATTGTATTAAAGATTATTGATGTGTGACACTTTGAGCTCACCTATGTGTTTCTGACATACATTATGTTTCCTTGTTATTTTATGGTTGTATACACGTTATGAATTTTGACAAGGAAGTCTTTATAAGACATTATGTGGACCATTATGTTTTCTATATTATGAATGTTGTATTAGGGGTGTTCGCGGTCTAGATTGGATCGGTTTTAGAAACAAAAATCATCTGATCCAATCCCTTCGGTTGATCATATAATCATCTATTCAGTTTTGATTTTTTTTCAAATCCGATCCGATCCAATCCAATTTTTTTCGGTTTGGATTGGATCGGTTTTCGATTTTTTAAAAATCCTAAAATTTATTTCATGATTATTGTGCAAATAACATCTTTTGTATATATTGGCTTAGTATTTTTTTTTTTGAAATACAAAAGCATTAGTAAACTATAATATAATTTTTTTAATTTTAGCAATGAGATATGAAGCTCTACAAAAATAAAATTTTGTTGATGAGATATGACCAGATTTTTTCTTGGGTTTAGTTGATGGGTTAATGGGTCTTGGGTTTAGAAATTTTTAGGCTATGATTAGGAAAATACATAAGTAGGTAGAGAAAAATTAATATATTGGATCGGTTTGGATTGGATCGGTTTTTATCAATCCATCCAAAAACCGATCCAATCTAATTAAAATTTGCAATTTTTAATCGGTTTTCGGTTATCGATTTTTCGGTTCGGTCACCGTGGTTTGAATCGGTTTGGATTGGTTGATGAACACCCCTATGTTGTATGATGGATTGTTGGTGTTGTAGTATATGGAAGGGAATGTACTGAATTAATAGCACACTACCGCCATAACTCTCACTTGACAATTTATCTTTTATGATGACTAACATTAGAGATGAGCATATGTATATTATGATTAATCGGGCCAAGTGGGAGAATGTTAGAAATATTAAGAGTCAATTATAATATTAAAAATATTTTATTATAATTATAATATTAAGACTCTTGATATTACTCATTAAACGTTATATGACCCAATTAATTACTGATAGAGAGAGAGAGAGAGAGAGAGAGAGAGAGAGAGAGAGAGGGGGGGGGGGGGGGGGGGGGGGGGGGGGGAGAGAGAGAGAGAGAGAGAGAGAGAGAGAGAGAACATTTAATCTCAATCATTGATTTGGTATTTGATGGACATACCAGATTATAAATTATGGAATATATATATTAGGGATGGTCCTCTCTCCCCTTCAACCCTAATGTCATTCTCTCCATCAGAATACATATCAAAGTAAAGAAGGCTTAGAAAGAGAAACTACCCCAATACAATTGCTCACAAGATGATGACTGCTGTTAATCCTTCATCATCGATCGTTTCCGAGTATGTCTTTATATCTTATGTGTATATGAAAATCATGTATTCCCAAGATCCTTTATCATGTTCTTATTTTATGATTTATGAACATGATATATATTATGCAAACTAACAGAGTGTTCCATATACTTGTGCAAAAGCATATGAGATTTTATGTATTAATTTAAAGAAATAAATAATTACCAAGATTTTAAAAATATGAGTCCAAATCCAAATTACTAAAAAATAGAAAAAATAAAATAAGCTCGAGTCTCATAATATTATCATGTCCTTGTTGTAACGCCCCGTTGTACATTAGGAAACGTTAACATCACTTATGATATTAAGTGCAATTATAATCACATTAGTTCAATTAAAACTACGGATAAACTTTTTCTTTTAAACATTGTTCATTTCCTTTTTAAAACAAAAAACCAAAACCGTAATTGTAACATGTAACATTCTTTAAACTGAGACCACTACACTTAACCATTAACTCTAACCTTTTCATTATGATAAACTAGATGTCTAGGGCTTTCCGGCAAGATTTTACAATAACCATTTGCTTAAGTATAGCCAGAGTTATTAAACTCGCAAAGTAGCTGATGAAACTGAACTTTTAGAATTACAACATCAACTTCAATAATAAACTGGTATTGATATACTCATTCAATGGGTCTAGTATTTTACAGGATTATATCTCTATGTGTTAACTTCACATCGATTCAAACCTCACTCAATTTGGAGCTATGTAGCTCGAGTTATGTCAATTTTACTAAACTATATTCATGTTGAAATCGGGTAGCGCACTTTAGCGCATTGAGAACGCTTAAGCACGCTCTTCGAACACATTTTTCTTCCGGTAGCGCGCTTTAGCTCACCCTGGTAGATCCAAATGGCATTTTAAAGCCACTTAGCGCACTTTAACGCCCTCCAACAGATAGAAACAAGTTTAAATGTAACATTACTGAACTAGGGATGTCAAATCCTATTTCTCCAATTTCCTTGATACCTAATAGACTTAAATGGCTACCACATGTCCAACAAACATTATGGCACTCACATCCCACCATATTCATCAATTTATCTCTTACGTAAATCCTTGTACAAGTCTACAATGAGCAATAACATAATTATCAGATTATATCAATTGTCTCCATATCTAAAATATATCAATGCATTCCAAAAGAATTTAGCTACTACACACATTATCAAAGTCATTGGCTATATACAACATGTAACAATTAACATCACAATGATCATGGGCGAAGTCTCAAAATATACATCATATGGCCTCAAAATTTACATATACATATGATGATACTAAATGAGATGCACTCCAAAATGACAACAACAACATCATGCATCAATCTATATCTACTTGTGCTTCCTGCCAATAGAGGCTCCTGCACCATCAGTACCTGAAAGGGGATCCCCACAACATAGGGTGAGATAAATATATCAGTAAATCAGGAGTCCTTGGAGGATCTCTTCACCCCAGATTTCACTTACAGTGTAAAAAGAAATAATCGTAAATAATGCAATATATACATATCTATGCAGTGTGTAAAACATCTCCATAAGACATCTCTCTCGTCGTCCTAAGTATTCTCAGATTCAAATAGTCCTACTAGCCAACTAAACTACAAAGTATGAATTACACATTGTCATGCAACATACAAAACATACGGAAACATCCATACGTACATATATCAATGCATTAAACTACCTTATTGCAATTATATACACAATAATAACCACTACCCCATTAGGACTTGGTGGAACAATAAAGTGATAAATCCTAAGGTCTGAAGGCTGACCTCAAATGCTTCAAATCCAACATTTGTTCACCATCAAATGCAAACAATCAAGCTTTGTTTTGAATCTACAATTTTACCAAGTAAACACCTACACAATGTTCCATACAATCAATCAATACAAGTTGATGAATACCAATATATTCATCACAATACAAATAATTCCACACCACAAATTAAGCATGAACTTATCAACTCAAATGGGTTAATCAAGTTCCATGGCTTCCTCCAATGGTTGATCACTCAATGAAGGTCCACAAGGCTCAATCCTACCAATACAATGGACATGATCAAACCTCCAATCAACCAATGGCTTGGAATGCAAAGAAACTCACAAACAAAGCTTGAATTTTTGAAAATATCATAATATGCCCAAATGACGATATAGACTCATTTCTACTAATTAAATCATCATTTAAACAACTTTTTCAAAGGGCTTAAGCCTTAATCAACCTCTACACTACCCCACCATACATGCACATTCATGAAATGGAACCCTAACATACCCAACATCATAAAACACAAGGAAAGTGAGATTTCTTACCATGGATAGCCTTAGAATCACTTAGGGAGTAAATTTCAAGCTTTAAATCAACCAATGGGTCACTCCAAGTCCACCAATCTCAAGCTAGGGCGCTACTCTCATCTCCCTTTTTCTCTCAATGCAAGACTTTTTGGTAGATTATGGATTAGCGGTTATGTTTGTCTCACAATTCTAAGCAAGATTGGTCCAAGAATCAAGAGATTTGGTTGATAAATGGAAAAATTAGATTTTGGAGTTCAATGGCTATGGTTTCTTCGATTCTCCCTCTGCCAAACGAAAGAGATGACACAAAATTGTGAAGGAAATGCAAAGTTAAAGACTTAACTTTGGTTAGGTAACTTTTCACTGGGTAAAAATTTATTTATATCTTTATCTTCACTATATTTCAAACTTTCCCTATTAATTCAGAATATTTTTTTAACTTTACTTTTTTATTCCGGATAATTTTTGCCTACACATATTTTTATCCCAAAACTCTCACTGTTGCAGTTTTAACCAAAAGTGACTTTAATTCTTTTATTTAACCCCTTTACTTAATTAGACCCAATAATATATAATTAAATATTTAATCATATACAATTTCACAAACACATTGATTAGGGTTATTATACTTGTGGTCCTAGTTGGTTTTTTATTATACCTCGTCTACAAAAATGCAAAATATAAATCATATCCAATAATATGTGACACTTACAAAGTAGTAAGAAATTTTTTAACTTCTTTGTTTTACGTATATAAGATTTGATTGATACACGCCCTCAAAGCATGTTAACATGTTAAATTGACTTAGTTGAGCATAAAAAAAATAAAAAATAAAGCAAGGCCATGCATGAATCCATATTGCAGTTGAAGACTATGCCAAATGGCAAATGGTGCCTAATACCACCACTAATAATAGTATTACAAAGACACAGAAGCAAGTACAGAGAGCCTTTGGATTCCCCAAACACAAGCGTTTTGATTTGAGTTGTGGAAGTGACAGATGGACAATCTATATTCAACAAAACAGACACCTTTTATTCTTGAAATTTGCTGAGGATTCATTGATGCCACAAAATAAAAAATGGCTTCATTATTGCTAACCAAGGCCAACCAACAACACAAACATGAGCAGCAACTGGGGGAGAAGATAACAAAAGGGAAGAGAATAAGAGAAAAGAAATTAACATTTCCTATGTGTAGAGAAGGAGAGACACATGATGCCTCCCCTTCTCTCTAACAAACTGTGACAAAAAAGAAAAGAAAAAAGAAACAAGAAACAAGAAACAAGAAGGAATTAAGATGAAGAAGATGTTTGGAATGTCATGTGGTGGCAATGATGAAGAAGCAGATGAGAAAGAGATTGAAACAAAGGACGATGGCAGCCAATACAGCTTAACAGGCATTCTTCTTCCATCTCTTGGTGCCACCGCCGCACGTGGCAGCCGGAGACCTAAGCTCCGCCGTTTCATTATCTCCCCTAGTAACCATCGTTACAAGTAAGATTGAATGAGGTGACACAAAACACCACTTTTCATTCACTATATGTATGCTTTTATTATGAATTTATATATGAGTTAATGTTGGAAATAAATTATTTTATGGGGGTACGTAGATATGTTACATTGTTATGAATATGAATCATAAACTCATAATGATAGATGATAATTGGTATATTGCAGACTTTGGGAGAGGTTTCTTGTGATATTGGTTTTCTACACAGCATGGGTGTGTCCGTTTGAATTTGGATTCCTACTTGAGAAATCAAAGGGTGCACTACTGATTGTAATGGACAATGTTGTGAATGTGATTTTTGCTATTGACATTGTTCTCACCTTCTTCGTTGCCTACCTGGACAAATCTTCTTATTTGCTCATTGACAACCCTAAGCTCATTGCTTTGAGATATGCTAAGTCATGGTTGATCTTGGATGTTATGTCTACCATTCCTTATGAAGTTGTTTGCATTGTGTTGCCGTCTTATCTTCAAACCTATGGCTACTTCAATATTCTCCGCCTTTGGCGCCTCCGTAGAGTCAGTGCCATGTTTGCAAGGTAATCTCAAAACCTTTCCTTCTTTAATAAACATTGACGAGACTTGGAGCAGCGGTAAGGTTACTCCTTATGACTTGAAGGTCAGGGCTCAAGTCACGGAATCCTCGGCACCCGAGTTTGCATTTTTTTGGTTTAATAAACATTTGTGAGGGCAATTTTGTTTTGATTTTACTTTTTCTCTTACATTCTATCTTTTATATATAGGAACTGAGTAGGATATTCTTTCCCCTATTTCTTTATTGTGTCAGATTAGAAAAGGACAGGAATTATAACTACTTCTGGGTGCGCTGTTCAAAGCTTATGTGTGTGAGTACTTATAACACAGTGAATTTCTTGGTTGATAGCATAAAACAACCTATCTTACAAGTCATTATGCCATGCATTTGTAGGTTACTCTATTCTCAGTGCATGTTGCTGCCTGCTTTTACTATTTCATTGCTGCACGGCGTGAACGAAAATCTACATGGCTTGGACTTGTTTCTGATTCCTATGACGACAGTTTGTGGGGCCGCTATGTGACATCAATATACTGGTCCATTGTGACTCTTTCATCTGTTGGTTATGGTGATCTGCATCCTGTAAATATAACCGAAATGACATTTGACATCTTCTATATGCTCTTTAATCTTGGACTTACCGCGTATCTGATAGGAAACATGACCAATTTGGTTGTCCACCGGACTAATAGAACTAAGAGATATGTAAGTATATTCTGCCTTATCCTTCTGTTTTTCACCATAATTTATTGACAGTTATAGTCTATGGAAAGAAAATTCACACTGCATCAATATCATGGTTCTATAATACTAGATCTGTTCTTTCTTTTACTTTAGTTTTTTCCAAGAGGCTCATTGATTATGGTTTTGAATGTGTTTTTGTGGCATATTAGAGAGACACTGTCCAATCTGCCTCATATTTTGCCCAAAGGAACAAGCTACCTATTCTTTTGCAAGAACAGATATTTGCTCATTTGCTTATGAAGTACAGAACTGATTTAGAAGGACTGCAGCAGCAAGAGATCCTTGATTCCCTTCCAAAAGCCATTCATTCTAGCATCTCAAACTACCTTTTCTATTCACTTGTTGACAAAGTGTACTTGTTTCGTGGAGTGTCAAATGACCTACTTTTTCAACTGGTAATACTTTTGTGTTTGCTATATAACCCCCTTGTGTTATAAAAGAAAACCCTGAAGTTTTGGTTAAACAAAACCTGAAATGATGGAGAAAACTTATTTTGAAGTAAGATCTTTGATCTGTAAACTTGCAATGGTACAATTAAGAAGCCTCTAGAGAGATCAAAAATATTTTTTAAAAAAGAAAGATGTTCTATCTTTACAAGTTTATTAACCAAGAAATCTTACATTCAGCCAGTCCAAAATATATACCTCTAATTAGTCTCAAACTGATATAAGCTCTAAGAACAATTATTTGTATGTTTGCTTCTTGTTATTCTTTGTGTTTTGAATGAACAGATTGTTTGATGTGCCTATGTTCAAAATTTGAAGGTCACGGAGATGAAGGCAGAGTATTTTCCTCCAAAGGAAGACGTGATTTTGCAGAATGAAGCACCAACTGACTTTTATATAATGGTCACTGGAGCTGCTGTAAGATATTGTATTTCTTTTTTATTTTCATTTACCCTGTTATACATAATACATTGTTTGAGATTGGTCCAAATTGCTACATTTTAAAAATAGGAGAGTAAACAACCAAAAAAAACCAAGTAGGGTAACATTATTGCAATTAAAACTAAGGAGATCATGAGTGTAACTGAGACATTTTTATTCTGTAACTGTCCTTTTAATATGAAATAGGTGATTTCTCACAAATCTCCTTTCTCCATGTAGCTGTTTTTATAGAAAACAGGACAAACTTTAACTTTCATTTTCTTGTGACTAACAGGATCTTATCATTAAAAAGAATGGAATAGAACAGGCAAGTTTGTTTACATTAACACTTTGTGAATGATCGCTACTTTCCTTTATGTGATGTCATGGGATTGACTACATGAAAAGACTTGTTTCTATGACTAACAAAACGTGTTGCCTGCAATTATACCAGGTTGTTGGTGAGGCAAAGACAGGAGATGTAGTTGGGGAAACAGGAGTACTATGTTACAGGCCACAGCTGTTTACAGTTCGGACCAAGCGATTGAGCCAGCTTCTGCGTTTGAATCGAACTGCATTTCTAAATCTTGCTCATTCAAATGTTGGAGATGGAACAATAATCATGAATAATTTTCTTCAGGTACATAAAATACTTGAGCTCTTACGTATTTTGTTTTTATCTAGACATGATTAGATATGGTTTAGCTTCTTATGCATATTCATTTACTTAAAGAACAATTTTTTTTTTCTTTCTAGTTTTATACACTTCACATTTTTTTATCACTTTTATTTTCTGGTTCTATAATCTTTTGGTTTTGATTCATTTAATTTTCTGGTCCAATGGCTTAGACTGTAGAACAAAGTTTCTTTGTTTGCACCCCTCCCTGACTTCCCCTATTGAATCCCACTATTGAAAAGGTTTTCTTACTTTTAATGGAGACATAAGCTATTAAATCTCAACTTCATTGCCTAATATTTAACTTCTAAACCATCTTTCATCTGACTTTTCTACATGGTTTCATAAACAATTCCAAGTAGAGGTGTAATTGGCCTTTCAGTTATTTGGTACTTGATATATTTCCTGAAATTTGCAAAGGTGCTGTACATATTGGAAAATAGTCCCACTGAGCTATGGTTGCATGTCCAACTCTGCATCTTAAAAAGATTAGAAGAGAATATAAATTTGAAAAAAGATTCAAGAAAACATTTGTTGATGGTGATGTATATACTACAAAACAAGATGATGATGCAATTTTTTTTACATGAATAGTTTATTTGTTTGAGAATTTTTATTATGTTGTATGGAGCATTGTTCCTGTGTCTGTGGATGTGAAATTGTTTAAATGTCATTAGAATTAGAAATTACCCCAGGACATAAAAAACATGGTTTTAGGACCCAACAAACAGCTTGTTTCCCATGGAGAGGATTGTCTATGACATTGATATGTTTTATACCTTGTTGCAGCATATGCATGAATCAGGGGATCCAGTGAAGCAAGGAATTTTGGCAGAAACAGAGGCAATGCTGGTTCGAGGCAAAATGGATTTGCCTATCAGTTTATTGTTTGCAGCTAACAGAGGTGACGATATATTGCTGCTTAAGTTGCTGAAGAAGGGTTCAGATCCAAATGAAACAGAAAAGAATGGAAAGACAGCACTGGTTAGCAAATGTTAATTGCTCTAGTGCAAACACGTACACATACATGTACATGTACATGCATATGCATAAACACTATACTTAACATTTACAACTCTACTTTCACATGTAACAGCATATTGCAGCTTCTAAAGGCAGTGACCATTGTGTAGCTCTGCTTCTAGAATATGGAACTGATCCCAACATCCAAGGTACACTTAGGGATTTTTGAAAATTTAATTACTTAGATTGATGCTGTTTGTCAATACCTTCTAAAAACAAGTGATGAAAACATTCAGCAAATGATTTGCCTCAACTTTTTTTTATTTACTTAAAATGAGTTATTTTGTCCACACATAATGAATTCATTGCTTCATTAATTATTCATTGTTGGGATGAATTTTCAGTACTAATTATTGTTTTATCAAGCACACGCTGCACACCCTTTGGTGTTATTAGTAATAACAACTTTTTTTTTATCATAAAGGAGTTGTGTTAGTACTGTGTAGTCTCTAATTGCTCTTATTAATACAGATTTAAATGGAAGTGTCCCACTATGGGAAGCAATTATGGGTAGGCATGAATCTGTCATGAAACTTCTAGTAGACAACGGCGCAGACATATCATCTGCTGATGTTGGCCATTTTGCATGCACTGCTGTTGAGCAAAATAACTTAGAATTGCTCGAGTACATTGTTCACTATGGTGGGGACGTGACACGGTCCACAACCAATGGAACCACTGCACTGCATGCAGCAGTTTGTGAAGGGAATGTTGAAATAGTTAAGTTCCTTCTAGACCAAGGAGCAGACATTGATAAGCAAGATGATAATGGCTGGACTCCAAGGGCATTTGCAGATCATCAATGCCATGAAGAAATACAAAATATATTTCAGAAAAGAGGACAGAACAAAACACCTAGTGCTATTCCTCAAGTATCAAAGAATGGAGAGTCCTATGTTTGGAGGTGTCAAAGTGAACCCTTTATGCCTGCCATTCCACAAGGAAGCATTCCACCTAATCAAGAGTCGACATGGTTTGATAATCGTCAGAGAAGAAGGGCCAGCCCTTTACGAAATTCATTTTTTGGAATGATGTCAGCTGCCAAACGTGGTAACTATGCATTTATCTTTCAAATTCGTACAAATTGGTGATTTTTTTTAACTTGTATGCCTTATTTTTCAAATGGCTCAAGGAAAGAAAGCTAACAAAATCTTGGTATTGCATATATTCAAATCCTAGAATGGGTTGAGATAAATACAAGAAAGATAGCGTGTTAGACATTACATACACACACACAGAGAGAGCCATCAAGTGTAAGAATAAGAACTCCTTCACTCATTATTAACCGTTGATTCTACTTGTATAAAATATGTAAATAATCAATTCAACCCAAAAATTTAAGCTGTTGGATGAAGTTACATTAATGATTTTTATATATCTCTAATATGTCCCCTCACAAGAGAGCTCATTGGTAACATGTCCCCTCACAAGAGAGCTTATTGAGTTTGAAAGGCTATGACCTATCTGTGCTAAGAAATTCCATAAAGAAAATAGAAGACAGCGAGAATCGAACCTAGGACACCGAGGCTCTGATACCATATAAAGAACCAATTCAACCCAAAAGCTTAAGCTGTTGAAAGAGACTACATTAATAGTTTTTATATATCTCTAACGTAATCATTCTAATTGACTAATTTATTAGAGATGAGAGAATTCACGTGAACCTGTTAGATACAAGTATAATCAATGATTAATAATGAAAGTAAGAGATATTATTGTTATACTGATATAAATTGATCCTTTCCATATAGATACTAATATGTATATATATAGTCATTTCATTTCATTGTTTGAGTGCCAATGCATTCAATCCAACATTTCATTTCAGAACAGTTAATCAGTTTTACTTTTGTTTTCAGACAAAAGAGATTCCCCAACATCTCAAAGCAGTCACACTACTACTCCAAAGGTGAATGAATTATCAGCCAGAGTAACGCTTAGTTGTCCAGAAAAAGGTGAAAGTGCCAAAAAGCTTGTGTTTCTGCCAAAGTCCATTGAAGAACTGCTACATATTGGTGCCCAAAAGTTTGACTTTTCTCCCACCAGAATTTTGACCAAAGAAGGAGCTGAAGTTGAAGACATAAACGTGATAAGAGACGGTGATCATCTTATTCTTGTACGGGACTGAACACTCAACATAACTTTGCTAAACCCTTCTTTTTCACGGGTATACATTGTGCAGCTGTATACTGCCACTGTGCCTCTTTTTTCTTTGGGCCACATTTTTGCCATATAAAAAAAGAAAAATTATACTCTTATATTGCATAAGATTTATCTCTCATGTTACAATCGTATAAAAAAAGGTGTCTTTTTTTCTTTTTTTAAAATTGGTGGACCCCACTTAATTTATTTCGCAACATAAGATAACTTCTCTCCTATAACATGAGAGAAATAAAGTCCATAAAAAATATATGTGTTTCTGGGCATCTTAGTTGTAAAAAAAGGAGGAATAAAGCAAATATAATAATTGAAAAGTGTTACTGTTACTATATAGTATGAAAGTTTGTGTATATACAAATTTAAGGCTTTAATATTTCTAAAGTGAATGTAGATAAGCTATTTACATTCACTCTCAAAACGATGTCGTTTTGGGTTAAAAAATTATAATAAAAAAGACTGTTATAACCTTGAAATAAATTATAATTATAAAAATACCTTGATTTCCGTCTCAAAACGACGTCGTTTCAGGCTCACTGTAAATAAGTTATCTACATTGACCGTAGAAAAAGCGAACCCCAAATTAAATTTAAAGGGACGAACTTGTATTTCTGTTTATACAAATTTAAAGGGATAAACTTTGACAATTTCAATAAGATAAACTTGTTAACAACTTAAAAATTTTAAGACCGCTTTATATAGATAAATAAAATTTGAATACTAAAACCATGCAAGTAACATTTTTTACGAATTAAATTGCATATTTTCAAGCAGAATAATCAAAATAACTTTAAAATCAGTAATTAATGAGTGTATGGTAAATATGACTATGTTTTGTTCCCTCTTGCTTTTTAAAAAATAAATAAATGAAAACATCACACTGTTGTTGTTTAACCTGTTCATAATTAAATATTCTCATTTTTTTTAAAGAACATGGTGTTAAGAACCTTCTATCCTAAGGTTCTTAACATGGTATCAGAGCCTCGTGTCCCGGGTTCGATTCTCGCCGCCCTCTATTTTTTTTCAAGTGAAATTTCTTTTTCGTACAGGTAGGTGAGCCTGTGCATTGTCCACTCTTCAAGCTCGGTGGGCTCTCGTGTGAGGGGACGTGTTGAGATATATAGTCCTTTGGTTGTATGTGCAACTAATGTGGAGTTTATAAGGTCTTGGGCACTCCCACCCTTTGAGCTAGCTTTTGGAGTGGTGTATCCCAAGGTTCTTTACATGGTATCAGAGCCTCACCGTCCCCCCTTTAAAGTGGAATTAAAAGTAAAAAGCACAAAAAGGTAAACAAAAAATGGGTCTGTGCAATTTCCACGCTTCTAGCCTAAAGGGCTCTTACGTGAGGGGGCGTGTTGAGATATATAGTTCCACATTAATTAGATGGAAAACTAATATGGCCTTTATAAGGCCTTGGACACTCCCACCCCTTGAGCTAGCTTTTGGGGTGTTGTATCCCAAGGTTCCTTACATGGTATCAGAGCCTCACCGTCCCCCACTTTAAAGTGGAATTAAAAGTAAAAAGCACAAAAAGGTAAACAAAAAATGGGCCTGTGCAATTTTCACGCTTCTAGCCTAAAGGGCTCTTGCGTGAGGGGGCGTGTTGAGATATATAGTTCCACATTGATTAGATGGAAAACTAATATGGCCTTTATAAGGCCTTGGACACTCCCACCCCTTGAGCTAGCTTTTGGGATGGTGTATCCCAAGGTTCTTTACACATGACATTGTTACAATATTACAATATTAATTAAATAATAAGCTCGAACAATTAGTGTTTAAGTTGATAACTATGTGGGAAAAGTATTTATCTTTTTAAATGATACAATTTTATGTCATTTTAAGTGAAACAATTATGTTTTAGTGTATATTTCTTGATTATTTACATTTTCTTTCTTTCTCTCTCTTTCTAATTTTGTGAGGGAGAGATAATGTAAAATATCAATAAATATGTACCAAAGCACGATCTTTTTATTTATTTTGTTTAATGAAATAATATATTTTAAAATGACAAACATTTTTTCTCCCTAAATCTTGCATTATATTTCAACTTCACTATTATCAATTTTTATTCAAGCCGAGTTAAAAAGCACCTAAAAAATTAAGATAGAATAAAATAAATTCTAGTTCAATTTTAAATTTTTATTTGCTCTTCCACCATAACACTTGTGTTCAAATGACTTGTAGAGTTGTAGTTAGAATTTTATTGAAGCAAAATGAAGCATTTCATTTCATTTTATTAACCACCTTTGTTACAAGATTGTGCCAGTTTTTATCAAACAAATGAATCAATGTAAAACATTTTTTATTAAGCTAAACTAAATAATTTTTCCTTCTTTATCAAACAAATCCGGAATATCTAATGTTCAGCCTTTTTTGTTTTTAATTGAACTATAGCTCGATTTAAATGTCTACCATGAAATTTCAAGCATCTCAGCAATATTACATTCAATTTAAGAAAATTCAACGTCTTTTGTTTTAATAAATAAGAAAGTTATATTTACAAATTTTTTATTTACAAACTACACTATATACAATATACATGTACCACGGGTAGTATATCTCAACATATAGTGTACAACCCCTAATAAATAATACAATTTGTAAATTTATTTTTTTGTAAATATAACTCTTCCCTTTAATGAATTGATGTATTATTTTCAGATTATTACATAAAAATTTTTGTAAAGAGTTCGACTAGTTATCAAGATTATAATTGTTCAAGCGGGTTGAATAATTTTTGGGTTCATTTTTTCTGCAAGTGACGGCAGAAAACTTATTTGCATTGAGCTCAAAACGACGTTGTTTGGGACAAAAATCAAGGTATTTTGATAATTTTAATTTATTTCAGGGTTATAATAGTCTTTATCATTATAATTTTTTAATTTTTCAACCCTATAGTGAGATCATTTCGAGAGTAAATGCAAATAACTTATCTGCAGTCAATGTAAAAATATTTTTCTGATAATTTTTATGGGAGAAGTGTTTTCTATCTCATGCAATCTCAAAGTAACATCGTTTTAAGATTTATAGAAAAAAATGAGGGTATACATATATATATATATATAGGGCTTAACATTTCTGCAGCAGCCGTAGATAGTGTTATCTACAGCTGACACAGAAAAGTGGGCCCACGACTTTAAAAAAAAAAAAAAAACTCAGAATCCGTTGCCATATCCTAGGATTCGGACGTGTATCCTTGCATGCTGTAGGTACAGCAGCTGCAAAAATCATTTTGCCATATATATATATATATATATATATATATACTGGGTTTGCAAAATATAATTTTATCTCATGTGATATTAAATCCAATTTTTGTATATACACTTTTTTTTATATATATATATATATCTTTCCTCTCTTTTATATATATATATATATATATATATATATATATATATATATATATATATATATATATATATATATATATATCCTCATACAACAAATTTCTTGCAACAATTTTCATTCCTTATAGAATCCGTTAAACTTAGAATCTCCATCTTACACGATGTTTTTAAACAATGTTGAAAACAGTGAGTCCGGCATGCACGAAAACAATGTTTAGAAACACAGTAACGATCTAGGCGTGTTTTTCAAAGTCGAAGCCAGTAACAAATGTAGCATAGAAATGATTAATATATGTTCACAATTTTCGAAAGGTACATATTTGAAGGAATAAATCTTTGGTATTATTGGTGTATCAAAGATTCAATACATCTCACTAATAAAAATATTACATGTTAGTTAATTTTTTTTTTTCTAACAGATTCTTTCTCTCTGATGTGCAATGTTCTTATTGATGAAATACATTAAATCTAAGTACAACAGTAATATCAAAGATTTATTCAGATTAAAGGCGGTGGAATTAGAGAAAAGTTATTCTGGACAAGGTGCATGTGCACCTTTTATAAAAGTAAAAAAAAGTCAGGATATAAAAGGAAATAAGCAAAATGATAAAGATAAAAATGTCATAAAAAAATTTTATTTTAAGAAAAAGGAACATCTAATAACGGTGCACCCGGTACACAATAATTTTTCTAGGAAAAAAGTTATTGTGGACCATGTTTGATACAGTACCATGTTGATTATCACCAACAAAATAATGCTGCGTAGCACTCAGGCTGGTTTGCTACTTGATCTAAATATTGGGTCAATAAATGTTCTTACAAACTGGCTATGGTAACCAAAGAGCAAGTGTTAGAAAGAATAAAAAAATAAAATAAAAATAAATCCAGAGAAGTATGGTATTTTTGGATTTTCTCATTTCCTTGCTCCTCCCCCTTTTCTTTCTCATATCATATCAGTATCTCCTCCACCCTCTTTTTTTGGTTTTTGTTTTTGTTTTTTTTGAACTTAGTATTCAACTAAAGAAGGAAAATGACCCTTGAACTCAACATTCTGGTAATACTGAAGCCTATTTCAAAGTTCAAATGAATAATTCACCAGTGCACTTCTTCTCTTCACCCGATTGAATCCTTAATTTCTTGTTCCGTATATAAGATTGTCTTCAATCTTAATTGACTTTACAAGAATCTAGAGCATTACATTCAATAGGAGATAATACTCATATATCAACCCCATTTGTACATGCTAAAAAAAAGGTCAATGGAGATAGACTTCATCATATCCTCATAGCTTCTTCAGGGTAAACCTGTCCAAGTCCAAGTCCATGCCACTTTTAGCTAACACCCCTCATCATCCAAAGACAAAAATAATATAAATACTATATAGGAAAAAAGAAGTATCTTTTTAAACGACACAAACTTGTGTCCTTTTAGGTGATTTACACAAAGTATGACCGGTCATACTTTGTGTAAATCAAAAGTTATTTTTTTTTCTCTCCTCAGTCACATCACTGACGTGTAAAGTGAAAAAAAAAAATAACTTTTCAGATTGACACAAAATATGATCGATCATACTTTTTGTGTAAGTCACTAAAAAAATAAAGTTGTGTCCCACACAAGTATATATTAATTGAAACCTTTAAATGGTTCTATTAGTCCTTTACCTGAAACTGCCTGTCTTCACTGAAGCTGTAGCTGAAGCTGCGGTTGCTTAAGCTTCTACTATTTTGGCTTACAGTTCTAAGTTTCAATTCTCCCCTGTGGGTTGTCATCTCATCCAATATCTCTGCATCATAATAATCTTCTGATCTGTCATCACTGTCAGTATCATGTGGCTCCTTATCCTGATCAAACATTTTCAACATTACTTAAAACCTTGGATTGTAAAGTATATACAAATATGCACAAAAAATGTATTCATAATAAATCTTACCCTCATATTATGGGTAGCATGTGCATTACCAACAATTTCCTCGTACCCAGCAGCATCTAGTTCCTGAAGATGGTTAGGCTTGAATAGCTTTGGAAGCAAATGTTCTCTTATTGTTATGAGAAGGAAGAAAGGTAGTGGAAACAATATTCCTCCAATAGGTATCCATGTCAATCCGTAACAGATCACAAAATATACAAACTGTATGAGTGTAAATGCAGCTATGGTCTTGAATGGTACTGACTCCACGAATGAGGCATGAGAACCTTCCAAAATTCTGCCCAAACAGACAAGCATTAGTACAATGACAAAACTGAACACGTGATTATGGTTCAAGTACCATGCATGAGCAAGTTGTTGAAATGACAATCATTGCAGCAAGACTTAAAGACATTGGGAATGGATGTGCATGAGAATTTTCTGGTGCATTTCATCCTGAGAGAATGTGAAAGCAATTTCTTTTCTAGAGTACATACACACTCCTTGGGAGAATGTTAATTAAATTTTGTACTCTTGCTAGATTACTAGCTCTCTGCTAATATGGTAAAAGGTATTTCCATCACAATCACAAATAAAAGAGAACTTTGGAAACCATGAAGCAATCTTCAATTTCAAAACCATGTAGTGTTGATTAGAACTCTACTCATAAGAATATACTTACTTGTAGAGCCGGCTTGGGGTGATGAAGAGAAGCGATATCCTTTCCCAAAATTGATTCCCTGGGAGACTATCAATTGCCATGTAAGCAAAATATCCCCATAGAACTGAGGTAGGTATCCTTTTGATGACAGGGACTGCTAAAAGAGATAGACCAACTAGGAGAGATTGCAATAAGTTGCTCATTCTTTGCTCATTAACCCGGACAGGTAGATATGCATCTATGTGTTTATCTGGATCAAAATTTTCCTTTGCACCATCTTTTACATCAGATTTCATTACAGCCTCCTTCAAATTCTCCAACTCTTTATCCTGGACCAAATTTTAAAAAGTTGATTTAGTTAATCTTGGACATGTACCCTTAGAAACAAATATCTATCAAGGCAGCAATACTTACAGTAGGTGCTGTATCCATTTCTATAAACACAGCTTGCATCTTTCCATATAATTCAGAGTTGCTCCCTTGTTGCTTAATGCATTCCTTGGCACTTTTTACCACCTTCTTTCGGATCAACTGCAAATTGATAGATGTTATAGAATCTATTTGAGTTGATATTTTAGACTTAAAAAAGAGTTTTGATGCAAAAGATGGTACTTACCTGCCTCCTGAGAACTGCTAAACTCTTCGTATGCATGGGAGACTGAGGAAGGACTCCATTTGATGGAGGAAGGCCAAGAATACCGCAAATCAGAGTCTAAAGATCAAAAGGATATGTATATATGTCATGCAACTTTATAAATGGAATTAACATAAATGAACAAAACTTTATAGGAAGCAGGGCTTTTAGACAAAATAACATACCATTATTCCAAGCAGGAAAATATCATAGTGGTAGGCAGATGGTTTTTGAAGGTTATATTCCTTCTGTTGAGCCATCTTTGAAGCTACACTGTGATCAAAAAAGTATAAACCTGCTATCATCACAGCTGGAATAAATGCCCCAAAGATATAAACCAAAGGTACCTTCCCCATATCCTGCAGTTTGCATTCAACCATGTTAGATGATTTTTAGGACTTGCATAACATGAAATTAGTCATTGCTCGCGGTTCACATTCACAATGTTGAACGCACGTCTTATATAAGAGCAACGGGAGAGATGAAAATCAACAGAGGTAAGAAAACAATATTTTGTGCTAAGCATCCTGCACCATGGAAGGGACTAATTATGTTTCATAAGAAGATGAAAAAATTATACTACTTGCGTGTGTAACAATACCTTCACTACTGTCCAGTGGTAGAGAGACGCAGGTTCCCAGGGAAGTGGGCAAAGCAGCCTTTTAGGAACACCAGATGGAACTTTGCCTGGTACAGTATAAGATAGTGCAGTCCAAAACACTACCATCATTGGGACCCCATAATCTGCAATGAAACCTCGTAGCCACCCTGCATTGAATGCCAAAATGAAGATTAAAATAATGACAAGAGAAATTGGCACAACAGTTGGTGTTGATGCCATGTGATTTGGAGGTCACAAGTTTCAATTCATGTAATTAGCCTCTTGCAAATATAAGGTAAGATTTTCTACTATACACTCATTCACAATAGATGTAATAACCCTTTATAACACGAGGCCGCATTTTAAGAGAAATTAAGTCTAACATGAAAACATTTTGTGTGTGGTCATATATGGTAGATTGATATTTGGAGATATTTACCTGTTCCATAATGCCATGATCTTGCTCTTCTGCTTTTAATGGCAGTGAAAAGCACCCCAAAAGAGAAAATGATTGCAAGTAATCCATTAGTATACTGCCAATGAAATTGAGATTCCTCTGACAATGGATTTTCAGTCTTGGTTACACCGAACTCGCTTATGAGTCCCTGTGGATACAAACAATTGTCAGGTTAAATCCTACAGTGAAAAACTCACAATCTATTGTGCTAGAAAGAGTTAGCAATAATATAACCTCTATTGCCTGTTGAAAAAAAAGGACAGTGATCAACATGCCAAATAATTCCTCAGCAATTCTTGTGAACCTACTGATAACTGTGCACGCGTTAAAAATTGCAAGTAGTATTAGCAAGAGTGATGTCCAGACACAAACCCTGCAACACAGATTAGCATGTAAGAGTTAAACATATATAAATATACTACAATTCAAGAATTACAAGTGAACAATGAACTAATGGAAAAGCCAAAACATAATTGTAATGTTAACTGCTATACATACCAACCAGCCCAAGGAAGAAAAAGCTTGGCCCCAAGTTCAGGCCTTTTTTTGCAGAAATCGAACAGAATATGGTACATTATGACAGTGGGTTCCGCAACTCCTACAATTAACAAAGGCTGGCCACCAAATATTGAGTGGATAATTCCACAAATAGAAGTAGATGCCAATGTTTCCACTGTGCTCAAGCTTCCACCTGCAAAAACATGATATGAATCGATGCTAGCTTATAGAACAGCAAACGTAATATCCACCAAAACCCTGAAAGTGACTCTATCACTATACTGTTGTCTTCAAAGAGGTAAAGAAACCAATTTCAGCTCAGAAGCTTAGACAATTGAGCGAGGTTATATTAATAATTTTATATTTCTCTAATACATCTCTTCACACAAGAGCACATTAAGTTCGAAGAATGGATGATACATCAAGTTCAGCCTATTTGTACTATAAAATCCCATAATATGTAATTAATTATTTAGAATTGGGATAGAGACTATCGAACACGTGACCACTTAGTCACTAATACTCTGACTTATATTATGAAAAGAATCAATTTCAACCCAAAATATTAAGCTATCAGGTAAGGTTACATTTTGAAACCATTGGAGAAGTTTTACCTGTAACCTCCTTAAGTTGCTCTCCAAAAGCAATGACAGGGAGAGCAGAAGCGAAGAATATGTAGAAAGTTGGAGCCAATATCCTAGCATTAATCAAATAACCATATATCAAAATTGGGCACACACACACACAGAGAGATAGAAAAAAAAAAGGGGGGATGGACAAGAATTACCTAACGCCACAACGGATTGCACTATCCCAATCTTGCTTATAGCATTCAGCTCTTCCTTTGACATCTTGAATTATTCCTTTAAACGGTCCCATAGCTGATGAATTAAAGAGTTTAGACATATATAAAGAGAATTTCAGTTGCTTTTGAGTAAAGTACCAGAAGAAAATATAATACAAACCATATGAAAGTAAAGGAAATTTTGGGAACTCATTTCTCCTTTCTTAAACACTATGAAATTAAATCAAGGATTTCCATAGGTTTGCTAGCAAAACATATGAAACAAACATGATATATATATATATATATATATTGTTCAATACCCTAAGAACCTATGCAGGTCAAACAAGTAGGACTTTGGTGGATAGAAAAAGAACCCGGTCGTAGAATGAAATAATAGAAAATGAGGGTAAATTTCAAAATCCTCATTTTTTACTCTCCCGATTATTATTTTTTTTTTTTTGTTTAATAATTTTGTTTTGCAACTTCTTCTGTGTTAATTGAGGAGAAGTGGGCAAAGGAGAATGAAAAGTTTTAATCCGTCATTTGGAGTAAAGCTTGTCATGAACATCAGAGAAAAAGGACACGTAAAAATGGGTGGTGAAAATGAAGAAACCAATCCTGTTATATATAAGAGAGGAGCATAATGAAGAACCTCTCATATGCTGCATGCATGTGCAATAGCAGCACGTACATAAATTAATAACGCATGCATTCAAAGATGACAAAGTAACGAATAACAAAACAAAACCATGACTTTTTATATAATAAATTAACGATGCACAAAATTTATTTTGCATAAGGAAATGGGAATGTAATAGAAATTGAAATGGTACATGAAGTGCGGGCCCAGATGGACCCTCAGAAGGAAATGGTGCAACGCAGGAGGGTCAGGAGGCTTGAGGTAATAGTGATAAATGTGGAAGAAGAGGGTCGCCGGAGAATCCAGATTACGGAGGGTGTGGCTCTCTCTGGTATGTTTCTCTCTCTCTAACGCGGGGAGGGTAGAGAGAGAGAGAGAGGGAGAGGGAGAGAGGGGGACAGAGAGACAGGGAAGAGAGAAGGGTGACATGTAAAAATTAGAAAGGGTTGAAAAAGCAAATGAGCGAGTTTTGTGGGGTTGTTTGGAGAAGAGATACATCTGTAACATTCTAGGATATCGATCGGATGCCCTCATGATGCGGTCCTCTTAGATTCCATCATTGTTCATGCATTTTTTTTTTTTTCTCCTTCGAACCTTCACAAGCCTCACTTTGATTTTATTTTATTTTATTGATTAATCCGGATTTTAGTCAAGTGATTTATGATTGATTTTTTTTTTTTTATGGGAAAAATATTTTTATTTTTGCATTAGAAAATATTTTTATTTTTATAACCCAATGGGTGCAGCTCAGTTGATAACTTGGCGCTGAGTTAGTGCGGTTGGATATGTGTTCGATTCCCGCTGAATGCATTCTTGAGGAGGTGGTTGAACCTTTAGCCATCACTGTTCCCTCGCACTCCAGATTAGTCTCATAGCCGACTCAAAGAGTCGAAGCTCGTGGGGATACCGGAGGGAGCCAACTCGTCTCAAAGAGATAATTAGGGTTGGGTAACTCCAAAAAAAAAAAATTTATTTTTATATCACACTCACATAAAAAATAGTAGCTCTTATTATGAAAAAAAAAGAGAAAAAAAATTAATAGGATCTGCTCACTTTTACGTGAATGTGGCATAAATATTTCTGCAGCAAAAATAAAAAATATTAAACCCTTTATTTATTTGTTAAATAATATCATATTATTAATTCCAATATATGTATTCTAAATTTTACACAAAAATAGAATGTTTTGGTTTTTATTGTAAAAAAATTTCTTAGCTACACACTCACATAAAAGTAAGTGAGTCCTACTAAGATTTTCTCTCTTTTCTCTTTATAATAAGATTCACTTATTTTTACGTGGGTGTGACAGAAAATTTCAATTTGCAACAAAAACAGAAACATTAAAACCAAATTATATTTACATGCATTAAATATTTTTTAATTTTTAAATTAATTTTTCATCTTATATTATGTTTTTGAATTATTAAATTTACGCGAGGATTTGTTTTAAGATTAATTTCGTCGTGGCACAATTTAGTTCCACTGGTGTCATTATCTTATCAAGATATCGTTGGTGTTAGGTATCAATTGGATAGACTCAATCTTATCTTTAAAGAGAAATAATATTTAAAATTGTATTTTAAGATCATGGGTTAGAACGTGAGTGACACGCGCACAATTTTTTCACCATCTGCTACGGTTTCATTTAGAAACTGATTTCCATGGAAAACCTGAACACTGAACAACAAGAGATATTGTCTGAATTGAGGAAAAGTATCAAACAATCGAAAGATGGAGAGGAATTCGCGAGCAACTCAGCTAATCGAGGAGAAAACCTTGCTTCCTTCATGGATGAACACTCGGAACTGAAGTCCAAGCATGGGCAGAGGCAACCAATAGTGAGAATGGCGTTGCAGGAGATTTTCAAAACTGGGAGCATATCTAGAAACAGAGGTGTTCGAAACCCTGAACCCTATGCTACGTGAGGTCTCGGATTGGGCATTTCAAACCATATTAAAGGAAGATGGGACAATAAACATCAAGTGCTCTCGCGAGGCGAAAATGAGGATAAAAAGCCCTGGCAAAATGCACTCATTGTGAAATTGCTAGGTAGGAAGATTAGGGTTGGTTTCATGAAGAAGAAATTGGAATCCTTCTAGGCCAAATCAGGTTCCATCATTGTGGCTGACTTAGGGAATGAGTTCTGCTCTATCAAGTTTGCTAACCTTGAAGACCTGAACTTTGCGATTACTGGAGGACCCTAGATAATTTTAGGACACTACCTGGCTATTCGCAAATGGGAGCCTTGCTTCGACCTTAAGAAGGCCAACATACACAAAGTAGCAGCTTGGATTTGTCTAACAGGTATTCCTCAGGAATTCTTTGAATTTCCTTTTCTTAACTACCTTGGTAATGAGATTGAGAAAGTTCTAAAAGTTGATAGAACCACTACCAATGGAGATAGGGGAAGATTTGCTAGAGTTTGTGTTGATTTAGACTTGTCCAAGCCTCGAAGAGGTGATATCTTCTGGAAGGATATAAAAGGAAGATAGAATATGAAGGCTTATACCTTATATGCCTTCACTTTGGTTGTTATGGCCGTAATAAGGACTTATGTCCTGACTTGGCCAAGATGCAACCTTTGAAGACTCCTACCGAAGCTGTGGAAGTTCCTATAGTAGTTATGGAGGTCCCTGTTGATCCCCATCTTCTCCCGACTAATCAAAGGGTGGGTCTCTAGATGATTGTCCAGAGAAGGAACAAACCCCAACCTGTTAAACCAAGTAGTGCGCAAGTGGCCAACAAAACCTTTGGTACGAATCTATCTAATGGGAAAGGTCCTAAGTCTCAAAAGTCAACTAAAGGGAAAGACAAAAGTTCTACACAGAACAAGAATCCAAACCAGGCCTCCAACTCTAAGTCTCGAAGCATGTCCTTCTCTGCAGAAGCCTTGATGAAATCGCCTGGAAAAATCCTCTTTTTAAGGCTAAAGCTCCTCAAAGTTTTTTCAATGGGCCTCCTAAGCCTATCTCCATTCACCCCCGTACTATCAACTTGAACGTGAGGGCTGATACTAGATTAAAAATACAGATGGAAATATCTGGAGTACCAAATTTATCTCTATCTCGATTGGTAAAGAAGTGGTGGAGGGAGTATCTAAAATCTCTATTCAAGAAAAATTAGATAATCCTGTTTTTGAAGCAGAAGGGCAAAATATGGAACCCTCAAATCTTTCTCTTATTCAAGAAAATAATATTTCTGGCATTGCGAATACTTTCGAGGATGGTTCCTTACTGGCAGATGCTCCTGATATTATTGTTATCCCTATTAACAAAGGGAGTGATAAGAAGAACGACATGGATTTAGTCATCCTGCACAGTGACCAAATGGAGGTTTCTCGATACACAAGTTTCCAAGTTCTTCCTAATTCTGGAACCCTATGTTGTTTTTAATGAATCGTATTTTCTGCAATTGCAGGGGAGCAGCGAAAAAGCCGTTTAAAATTACGCTGAGAAACTTCTCTAAGAATCGTAAGGTTGGCTTAGCTGCAATCTTGGAACCTAGAATCAGTGGAGATTTGGCCAAAAAAAATTAAATAACTTGGCTTCAAATCTCATATAGTTGAAGATGTTATTGGTTTGAGGGGTGGCATCTGGCTTTTGTAGGAAGAAAAGAGTTTTTCTATTGATCTTATAGAAAAGTCCTCTCAATTTATTCATGTGAAGTGTACTTGTGCTAATGGTATTGTTTTTCTCCTTAGTGTGGTCTATGCCAGCCTTAGAGAAGATGTCAAGAGAAATCTATGGGCTGATCTTAGAAGAATTAGCAATTTAGTGGCTGATCCTTGAGCAGTTACGGGTGATTTTAATGAAATTCTGTTTGCTAAGGAGAAAAAAGGTGGTATTCTGATTAACCTGGCCAGATTCTTAACTTTATGGAAGTTTTGGATGATTGCCACTTTATGGAAGTTGGTTGTTCTGGGTTGAAATTTACTTGGATGGGTGCCAAATGTCTTCATGTTGAGAAAGTTTATAAGTGTCTGGATAAAGTTTGTGCTAATGCTATTTGAAGAACCACTTTTGCTGAGGCTACTGCTAAAACTTTACCCCGACTTAACTTAGATCACAACCCTATTCTATTGTCTCTTTTCCCTAAAGAGCTGTCCTGGAGGGAGAGACCTTTCAGGTTCTTAGTGGCTTGGCGGGACCATAGCAATTTTATTCGGTTCCTCAATCAGGCTTGGAACCTCCACAGTAACCTCAATGATCCCTCTCTAAGCTTGTTAATCCCTTGAAGGCTTGGAACAAATATGTTTTCATGAATATTCAGACTAAGAAATAGCGTCTCATAAAATATTTGCATGATATCCAGATCAATAGGAGAGGTTTGTCTGATTCTTAGCTGTTGTCCTTAGTTCAAGCCCTGCAATTGGAGATTAATAATGTTCTTGAAGAAGAAGAAATTTTATGGTTCCAAAAGGCTAAGTGGATAGCCGACGGTGATAAAAATACTAAGTTCTATAACTACATCACCATTGTTAGAAGAAACATAAATAAGAATTCTGAATTAAAAGATGATGCTGAAAATTTATTTAAACAAGAGCAAAACATCATTAACCTGATCTTGTCCTTCTATGGTAAGCTTTTCCTCGAAGAAAATTTGCCTCA